TGGTTACAAACAAGGCCTCCAGCAGGGTCTCTACTGCAAGCTGGAGGAAACCAGAGGACTGTCCATTCTGCAGAAAAGACCCAGGGCTTACTGTGGCCCCACAAATATGATCTAGCAGGTGCTTTCTCTAACTTGAGAAGCATGGGGAGGGCACTCTGGTTGGAAGTGCACTCTGGCTTTGGACATGATGGAGTCAGACATGCGGGTCTCAGCTCAGCAAGGGAAACCTGTGTGCTGGCTCTGTGGGACCCATGACTCCCAGGGCAGGGCCTGCAGGTCAGAGGAGAGGCTGGATATGCAGTGTCCTTCAGATCCTGGGCTGCTGAGGGATGGCCCCTCCTTCTGTGAGGTAGGGATGGGGCTTCTAGTCACAGAGAGGGCATCATGGTGGCCCTGAATTGCAGTGACTCAGCGCATACGGCCAGAGATTGGTCAGAAGCACAACAGTGATGACAGCCTGCCTTTCTAGGGCACGACCTAGGGCACAAGCACTGAGCTCAGTACCGCGCATGGAGAATCCCCTGAATGCCACAGCAACTATGAGCAGTGAGGGGACCTCCGTGAGCCCAGCCAGACTGGTGTGGGGAGTTGCTCCAAGGTAAAGGCTACATGGGTGTTCTCGTGTCTACTGCCTCCTCAGAGCTGAGCTCCTGCGTCTTGCTGAGCAGAGACAGGGCTGGGCCCAGGGCGAGGTGGACACCCAAGAAGCACAATCCAAGGAGGTGTTCTGCCGGAGCCCTTCCGCGCCTGGGAGCAGGGGCCTCCTTACATTTTGCACACTGGTTACTCATTACTCTGCCCTAGTCCTGGCCCTGGGTGGCCCTGGCCAGACTGGTGTGTGAGTCCTGTTCTTTCCCACTAGCTACACGACTTTCCTTTTCCTGAGCCTCAGTTTTCTTGGAGACAAATGGGGCTAATGACAATATCGAGGGTTGGCAGAGACGTGGAGAAGTCAGAACTCTCAGATGCTGCTGGTGGGGATGTTAGGTGATGTGGGTGCTTTGGAGGACAGTTTGGCAGTTTCCAAAAAGTTACACAGAGTCACTACAGGACTTAGCAATTCCTCTCTAGGTCTTCCTGTGCCTCTCTCCGTATCCAAGAGGAACAAAAACGTGAAGTGCAGAGGCTCATACGCAAATGTTTGCAAACTATCATCTTAATACCCCAAAAGTAGAAGCAGTCTAATTGCTTATCAACCAGTAAGTGGAACCAAAATGTGGTAAACCCTGTGGAGGCTACATGGCAACAAGAAGAAACAAAACAGCAATTTGCGCTACAGTGCAGAGAACCCTTAGAAGCATTAAGCTAAGGGGAAGGAGCCAGACACAAAGGCCACACATTAAATGACTCTACCGGCATGCAGGATCTAGAAAAGGCAAACGAACGAGTGAGAAGGTAGATCAGGCTCACCAGGGCAGGGGAGGGGAAAAGAAGTGCCGGGCAGCAGCTGCTAGTGGGCACAGAGGGTCTGTTTTGGGGATGACAGAAATGTTCTAAAATTACATTGTAGCAAGTGCTCTCATCCTTCTGTCATTGTAATAAATATCAATAAATTGTATAGTTAAAGTGGGTGGATTTTAGAGTAAGTTATCTCAGGAAAGGTATTTTACAAAATGAGACTAATGCTAATACCTCTGGCAATGACCAACAGGATGTAGCTGATCCAGGACATAATACTTGGTGCTTATTTTGCTCCTGTAAACACCTGCTGCCTACTTAAAGGTTGCCTATGTTCCTTTATTTTAGGGAGACTTTGGAAACTAAGCTGGTCTTTCCCTGGCCCAGCTCTGTCCCTAAATAACATGTCCTTGCCTGCATCCATCTCCCCGTCAGCTACTTTTGGCTGCGGCAGCCACGGCAAACACCATGCCTGATGTGGGTGAAATCTCTCAAGTTTTGGATTGCAAGCCCCATGCTGAGGTTTGTCCTCTGCCCTCTATCCCCATGCTCATAGCACTGCTATGCCAGTGATGCTGGCTATGACTGAAAGTATGGGAGCAGTCAGTAAGTTGGAAAAAGCCACGAAGGTGGAAGCCCCAAGTGCACGTTCATCTTGCTGTTATCCTCAGCTGGGCTTGCAGCTTGGCTACAGGTTCTAACCTGCAGAATAAGGCAAGAGGGGCTGCGAGAACCTGGGCCTAGGAGTCCCAGGCATGGCACAGGCCTTCCTGGCTTCTGGAACCCTTGCACAAGGGACTTCCTGTTTTGTGCTTCCTAGTTTGCCAAACAGGGACAACAGAGTCCCAGCATCTTTTGGGGTTCCCATGAGCACACCGACAAGAAGCACCTGGAACCATGCCTGTGAGGCCAGTCAGGGCTGGCTGCGGACGAACCCCAGCATGGGGCTTGCAATCCAAAACTTGAGAGATTTCACCCACATCACAGCATGGCTGTAGTTAAGTGCCAGTGACCGTGAACTTCCAAGGACATCATGTCTTATTCTTGCAGGTGCTCAATAAGTGCTGACTGGAGAGAGGAATGGAGGTGGGGATGGAAGGCACTGTGAGCTGGCTGGTCAAAGAAGCAGAAGGGCCTTAAGTTTCCACACAGGACAGCAAAAATCATACACTACCATCAGACTGGGTAACCCTGGGCCAATTCTCATAGCTTTCTGGGCCTCAGTTTCTCCTAGCTAGATTAGGGGGTCCCTAAAGTTTCTTCCAGCTAGAGCCCTTCCAGATCCTACTAACGCACCATTTGCTAACAGACTCATGCTCCATACCCTTCTAGTGGGTACCAAAGCCAACAATTTTCAACTGCACCCTATGGAATACACTTTTAATCTTTGGGATGTCTACCACCAACCCAGCAAGTGACCAAAGCTGGCTCTACTTGTGCAGAGCGCTGGCTCTTAGAAAGAATGGGGCTACTTGAGTCAATTCTCTAATATAGTTCCCCAGGACAAAGTAACAGGTGGTTCTATGGGCTGGTGAGAGGTGGAGATCTCCAGTGGAGGGGCTGTGAGAGAGCCCCACCTTAGTCCACTCCCGACCTGTACCAGCTGCACTCCCCTTGTAGGTCTTGTCCACAGGACAGCCTCTGTGTGGCTTTAGCTGTCAGTCCACATTCCCACATGCATCCTACCTCCACCACCCTAGCCTGCCAGGGCTGGCCTCCTGCCTCCCTCTTCTCCCTGTGGGTTTCCCCCACCTCATACAACTCAACTAAGACCTCCAGCTCTGGCCAGCCAGTGTGTAAAAAGAATTTGTTTCTAGGAAGACAGGGGTGCAGCGCAAATGGAAATAACTTTCCAACATCACCCTCCCCAGGCCACAGAGATCCCTGGGGACGCTGCGTACACCCAGGGGCTGGGAGGGCCAAGATAGTCTCCTTGCTGGAGCAATTCAGTCCAGTCTCTTGTTTTAAGACCAGTGGGAACATAATATCAGCTGAAAGGCGATTTCTGTGTGCTGTTTAACTAAAAGGCTCTGCAGCTGGAGAGAGTCACGGGCAGATGTGTTGATTCAAAGGCTCCTAATTACAATGATCCTCTTTTATTGTATAAAAACAGCAACATGGCCATTCTCCACCCTCTGGATGCCAGCTCCCTCTACCCCCGGCCTCCACTGGCTGGCAAAGTTGTGCCACATCCTGCAAGTAGCCCTCGGGTCCTCCTCAGGCTCCAACTTTGTAGCTTACATCCCACCAGGGCTCTTTTTCCCGGGCTCAGGAGGAGAGAGTGCATTGCTTCTGGGAGTGTTCTCTGTCTCAGGCTCTCAGAGCAGTTCTAGAATGGTCTACTTTGGATGGGTGGGTAGGGAATTCTTTCCCGTTTTGACTAAATTCTCTCTCACACATACATACACACACACAGCAGCGCACACCCCTATACCCCTGCAATGGAAAAGCAATGAGACTGTCCCAGTCCCAAGCACAAATTCTTGTTTTTGATGGTACTGGGAATTGAACCCAGGGCCTCATCGCACTAGGCAGGTGTTCTACCCGAGCTACACCCTCAGCCATTTTTTATTTTGAGACAGGGCCTTTCTTAAGTTGCCCAGACTGGCCTTGAACTTTCAGTCCTGTTTCAACCTCCTGAGTAGCTGGGATTACAGGTGTGCACAACCACACTCACCCAAAGTGTGTTGTAAAATAGTCCTTCTCCCCACACCCCCTTCCAGCCGGTGTGGGCTGAGTCTTCGGTAGCTTTACACACACTTTGGGGAGCTCTGGAACTAAGCCAGTTTGAGTTTGCACCCTGGCTCCACTGCCTTCCCGCTGTGACCCTCAGCAGTGCTGACCTCTCTGAGCCTGGTTTCCTCTTTACAATGGGATTATACACTGTTCCCTATTTACCACTGTTATGAAGGCAAACTGTGTGGGGTATGTGTGGGTGTGTAGCGGCCCTGTGCCGCTGTGTGTATATGTGCCCTCCATTTGTTAGGCTTAACTGGGGGAACACTGGGGTTGGCCCCAGTGAGGAGTGTTTTTCTCAAATCTTCCTGCCACACGGGTTTAAACTGTCACCTGTGCGCAGTCAAGGCTGTGCATATGCGTGCTGCCCAGCTTCCACTTCATGTACATTTCTGGGCCCTCCTCAGCGTCCTGCAGCCCACAACTGCAGGATCTAACCAGGCCAAGGAGAATCTGCACCTCGGAACTCTCATTCATAACCTCCTCCTCTCCTCATTGGCAGCCTTTTCTCTCTTACCATTGGGCCCCGGACCCCAACAGGGAGGTTTCCCTTCCAAAAAAGGAGCTGACTCTCTCTGGTTACCGTCAGAGGCCCTGGGGGTACAGGAATCTATTCCTCACTCTGAATAGGGTTCCAGGGTTTTGCTGGTTTCCCCCAGTAAGGTAAACCCAGCATGGGCTTCCCACCCTTCCATCCCAAACTAAGCCTGTGCCCGCTCAAATTATACCACAAACTTATACTGAGGGGATGCCTGGGTCGCATTCCTTCATATTGATCTAGTGTGGATCAATAGCATGTGAATTTCATTCACTGCAGACCCTGTTATGTGGTAAACAGTACTGCAATGAAACATTGTGCAACAAGATTTAATCTCTGTGTTTCTTTATTGGGGGCAGAGGGGGAGAAAGAGGAAGGCGGGGTGTGAACTGAGGCTTCTATCAGATAAACTATCCACGTGGGGTACAGGCGGGGGTGGGGGTGGCAGCTGGAAAACTGACTCTGGCCCTGGTCCTCTTTCTCTCCTCTGAAAGTTTGGGTGGTCACTGATGCACTGCTGTCAGGCTTGTTCCTCTGCGGGGCCTGTTCCACACACAGCATTGCCAGCCAAGCCCTCTTAAATGCATGGCTGTGAGCATAGGAACAGGAAACAGATTGTGGGTGGATGTTCTTAAAATCACAACCTGTTCAACATAGGGTGGAGACTCAGAGAAGCTGGGGAGGGGAGAGAGGAATTCTTTTTCAGTTCAAAATGTAACCACTTTGTCCGTACTAAACACAGCGCCACCTCACTGTCCTCCACAGGGGCCTAGGCGGTCGAGCATCCTTCCTGAATGAGCATCAGGTGAGACCCTGCCCCTCGGCTCGCTGCAGTGCTTGGCCACCACACCAGAGTCTCACTGGGTGCTCCCAAGAGAGTTTTCCATTCCAAGTGGCTCATGTTTGCCACAAAATGAGTGTGTGGATGCATGGGAGGAGGGGACAGGGAAGAGATGGGGACACAGAAGGTCCCAGGACTGAGGAAAACCCCACCCGTTAGTTACTTAGACCTCAAGAACACAACAAAGCCGGGGATGTAGCTCAGCAGCATAAGCACTTGCCTGGCAAGCCTGAGGTCATGAGTTCGATTCCCGGTACCAAAAAAACAAAACAAAACATAAAAGAACACAACGAAGTCCTGTCCAGCAGGAGGTGGCCGTGACGATGAAGAGGGTGGTGATGGTCTGTTGAGCACAATCCATGTGTCATGGGCTGCGCCAACCCTTTTATAAATCTCTTCTTAGTTTTCCAGCTTCTGGAATGATCTGCATTTTAGGTACGAGACTGAGAGACACAAAGCCAAGTAGTAACCCTGAATCATAAAGCCAGAAACACTGAGAGTCAGAGAGCAGTGGGGAAGCTGCAGTGGTCGTGGATGGAGGCCAGATGGATGGCCTCCCACAGTACCTTCTCCATGGACAGCACAGCTGGGGGTGAGGAATGCAGGTATGCTGGGGCGGATCTGCATCTGGAACCCAGAAAGCCAGAGTTTGGGGGGAAGTAAATGCACGTTTAGGGAGGGAGGTACCCTTCTACCCCAGGGTTATGGAGGAAGGAGAGTAGGTCCCCTTCCTGGTGAGGGCTGCCGAACTCAGCTTAGCTTGCGATTCTAACTGGCAGGACCTGAGGACAACCTGCACCCACACTTATTTACTGCACACTGGCCTCTTTACGCCCTGGTCTGAACCCCGTGGAGCCCAGTTCAGATAAAATCCACACGGGGCTGTCTGCACAAGGGACAAAGCTGTCAGCCCTCACCTTGCTTTCTTCAACCACACGTCACCCCTTCCCCGAAACCTGCTATGGCTTCCGAGTACCGCAGACTGAAAGTGCTGCCTCTGCATCTACCTATATCCATCAGCAACCTTCCCAAGGCTCTCAGTCCACTCCCCGAGTAAGCAGACAGCTCCCGGATCCAGGGCACTTTCACCAGGGACACAGCTTCTCGCCGTGGGCAGCGAACTCTCTACCAGCCAACCCTGCCTTCCTCTGTGCATGAGCTGGACCCCAGCTTGCTCATGGCAGCAAATACTTGATCGCTCCCGCTTCCTGCTCTGGATGATGCACTGAGGACAGAAGTCCCTTCCCAAACTCATCTCAGTCATTCTCATTCATCTTTCTTGTTCTTTCTTGGAATGCATATGTGAAGCCTGGAGACACAGCAGCCATCTTCCTACCAAGCGATGAAGAGTCTAAGGCCTACACCTAAGGACGGTAGAGTGGAAAGACATCTGGGCTCCCCGTGGTACACAGAGGCATTGTCCCACTCCTGCTACTGCTGACACCAATGAGCCTTGAGGTGGCGCAGTCACACGGAGCCAGGGTTTCTGCTGCTAGCAGCTGAATAGAGTATCTGACACACGTCCAGACACTGCTCCTCCTCATTCATGGCCAGTGTTGATGCCACCCACTCCAGCAGACCCTCCTGACTTGGGCAAAGTGGCATAATTATGCCCTTCGTTGGGTGTCCACACAGTTACTTTGCTCAATTACAGCATTTATTTAATCCGGCTTGATTTGGTCTAATGAATGCTCCCCGCCGGTCTGCTCAGACTCCCAGAGGGCGGGAGGTCTCTACCCCACCAGGGTCTCTGAAGCGCTTTGCCCTGAGGCCGGGCAGCTCCCTCTCCAAGCATCTGCATGGTGCCTAGTGCCCGCCATGGCACACCTGTGGCCCCTGTGGGTGCCTGGGATCTTGTGCTGCCACTCTGCTTAGGAGCTGTTTTGCCTTGGGCCAGGTAGCTGACCTCTCTGTGCCACATCTCCTCCTCTACAGAAGGACGGAGGGGAGTGCTTACATCACAGGGTTGTGAAGACAAAGCGGTCTGATCATAAGCACTTAGGATGGGGCCTGGCATATCAAAGTGCTTCATAACTGAGGCTCTTATTAGTACAATGAACAGTGTAGTTGGGGAATGAATAAATAAATCAACACATGGGGGGCTGGGGATTTAGCTCAGCGGCACAGTGCCTGCTTGGCAAGTGCAAGGTTGTGAGTTCGATTCCCGGTACTGGAAAAAAAAAAATCAACACACAGTTGCTAGAGAAATGAATAAAGAAATAAAATCCAGATGAATCCCAAGTATGGACCCCAGGGCAGTAGCTACTGCTGCTTTCCTGGCTGCACTTGTGTCCACTTTTTCATTATGAGGCCTGTTCATCTAGGGACCTGCTGCGACGCAGCGGTTAAAGCCGTGGAGGCAGGCCTGGCTCCACATATAAGCTCTGCTTTTGCTCCGTGGCTTGGTCAGGTCTCTTTGTCTCACTGAGCCTGTTTCCTCCACCACAAACTGGAGACAGGAATGCCTAGCTCATAGGGTTAAGCAAGGATGAAAGGATGCATATGGCATCGTGTTCAGCGCACTGCGCAAGTGTTAAAAGCTCTCAGACACCCATCCATCTTTCTGTTAAATGTACAGCAGCCGGAGAAACATGCAGCCCTGAGGTGCATGCGACACTGGCGTAGGGTCACCTGTTGGGGGCCACCTGTTGGTACATCCAAGACTCTCAGCACTTATGTCAAGGGATGACCCTTTCTCAGTGCCCACCAATAGTTGTGGCATCTTGATTTTTCCCTTTAAATGAGGATTAGCTTGATTTACTCTAAAACCTTGGCCTCTGCTGTTATCTTCAGGTGAATTCTTAGCCGACATCAAACCAGGCTAGAAAGAAAAGTTCAGGTTCACAGGAAAATAATCAAGGGGCTGCGTTTAAACAACAACATTTGTACACATTACATTGCAGTTACTGTCAGGCATGCGTTCCAGCCTTACTTGTAGATCTCCCCTCTCCTTCCTCAAAAGATGCCTATACAACTTCGGGTAACTTTCCCTTTAAACTTAAATGAAACCTTTATGTTGGGTTCACCCACTTGACGGCTCCATTAATCTATTCTTACTATTAAGTACGCCATTTTACAAGATATTTATTCCACCTGGTGGTCGTCTAAATGCTTTTTGACATTTCTGCCCTGGGACTGAACTGCTCACACTTGCGGCCCTTATAAATAGAAAATCGCCTTCTGACTTAACTCCTCAAGAGCTCTCAGAAACTCACCAACACGCACTGGCACTCATCAGGGTGACTGTGAGAGGTCCCAGCACCCATGGGGTGAGGGCGAGGGACTCCGGCCCCCAGCTCCTGTCTGACAGGGCCTGCTCAGACTGGGGGAGCCGCCAACTTTCAGAGAGGAAGTGATCTTTAGAGACAGGCAGGGGAAGAACTCGGAAGCCCCCCAAACAGTGACCTCTGGGGCCCAGGCAGAGCTGCGACTCTGAAAGATGGGGTGGGGGTGGGGGTGTGGGGGGTGTCCGGGTCCCCATTTACCAACTCTCTCCTCTTCCACGCGCAGAGACAAAAGGCCATCTGGGGAGCAGCGGGAGGCGGGGACCCCACTGGCTTGACGCCCATCAATCAGGTGGAGGCCCGAGCAAATCACAGCAGGGCTCGCCGTCAAGTTCCCTGCCGGAGCCGCTGGTCCCCGCTGCTCGAGGCCCAGCCCGCAGGGACCGCGGGTCGGGCCGGGGCAGGGGTAGGATGCTCGCGCCTCCCAACTTTCGTCCTCCGCGCCGGCGCGGCCTCCGCACAGCGGCCCGGCAAGGGGCAAGTTTGGAAGCCACAAAGCAAGCCGCACCGCCGACAAAGATCCGCCTCCGGGGGCCGCGCGGAGCGGCGCGGGGAGGCACCCCGGGACCCCGGCACCCCGGCCCCGCGCCGCGC